TTGAGAGAGCCAGGGGTGGAAGGAGATGCTCTTATCCCCCCAAGCCCCCATCACCAGGAGGTCCCACGTGGCTTCTGGGAGACACATTTCTTATGGTCCAGGCTTTGGGACCCGCGGGTCCTTATGAACTTGTAAGATGGTAACTCCGGTTCCGAGACATACTCAGTGTCCTGTCAGGAAAGGGTTCTCTGGCCAAACAGCCCGGGGAACCTTGAGTCTTGCACAGAAGAACGGGTTTCTTGCTGTAGACTTCCCAGGCCCTTCGCTGGCAGGTACGCCCAGGCCCTTCCAGGAGGGCCCAGCGGGGGCAGGTGCCTCTGTTCTTTGACTCCCGTTGTGGGTCTGGGGCTCCATAGCCAATGTGTGGGGGCTCCTGCTCCAGAGAGTTCTCTCATGAGCACCCGTGGGCACCAATCACTGGGGTCCGGTGTCCCAGGCCTGGGCTGTGCAGGGCCTTGACCTCTGGGGACAGTGTTCTGCTTTGCTGCCCACAGGCCCTGCTTGCCCTCCCTCCACATCTAAACCCTCGGGCCTGGTAACAGCAGCCAGAAGGCTGTGGGCTGGGCTGCAACTGTCCCTCCCCAACAGCCCTGAGCCTCGGAGCCCAGCGGCTTCACCCCAGGTGTACCCCCAGCAGCAGTGTGTGCGCATGTCCACCCTGCGATGGGAACTGGGATGCTCTTAGCAGCACTGTGTGTAACCGCTCCAAACTGGGGACCTCCCGAGTGAGCGCCCAGCAGGTTTAAGGGGTAAATGAGTCACGGCATGTTCACGAGAAAGACTGCAGCACGGCATGGAGAGACGGAGATAGAGACTTACACACAGCAGCATGCATTACCCACAGACAATATTCGCAAAGGAAGCCGGAACAAGAGTCCCTCCTTAGGTCTGCATACAGGACGTGCAAAAACTGGGGACGCAAGTTCATGCTGGAAGAGTCAGCGTCCTGGTCGCCATTAGGACGGGCTTCTGGGGGGGATATTTGAGCTGGGCGCTGGTCACACAGGTGTTTTGGGTTTATGGAAACTGAACAAGCTGCGCACTTAGGATTTGTACCCCACTTTTTGTAGGGGACCATGTAGTACACGTTTTAGACTTTGCAGGGCACCAGTTGCCTCTGTCACAACTGCTCATCTCTGCGTGCAGCTCAGATAGGAACTCCTGTTCTATCTATGTGCTTGTTAGACCACCATCAAAAGCTTCTTAAAATATAAACACACCCCCCCAGGAAAAATCCAAAACAGGTGCCTGGGGCTAACGCACTGGGTCCTAAGAACACGCCCCCTGAGGCACTTCCCCATCCGCTCTCTTTGATTCTTACCCCTGTGATAGGCAGGCAGGCCTGAGGCTACTCTTCCTTTCATTGGAGGAGAATCGGAGGCTCAGGTTGGCCAGCGCCTGCCAGAGGGCCCAGGGCTGGGAGGAGGCGAAGGGTGGCCCTCCTCCCCAGCCCCGCCTCAGCCTGGCCCCTGGCTCCTTCTCCCTATAGCTCCCTTCTCCTCCGGCTCCCACGGTCTGCCTGTGGTCAGCCACCCATTTAAAGAACTTCCCCGTTTATCTTTCCTCCTCGGCTATTCCTGGCCTCCCGGCAGCCTCTCAATGATATGTTGTGTTCCGTCCGGCTTCCGCCTTTGCTGCGGGCCTGCAGGTTGTTAAGGACTCTGTAGCCGGAGCTGTTTTTAGTCCTTCCAGCCCTTTTCCCTTCCTACTCTGACCCAGGCCAGCAGTGTCTGCTCAGAAAGTCCGGCTTCCTCACAAGCCGGCTTCGTCACGGGAGCCCGGCCACGGAGTCCTGCAGCCAGAGGGTCCCATTGGGAATAGCAAGCCCAGCCTTCCCGTCCTGCAGATGAGGCTCCTGAGTCCCAGAGAGAGGTCATACCGCTTGTTGGGGGTGGAGGTGGGCACGGAGACCAGGTTTCACGCCTTTAGTCCAGGCATCTTTCATTTATTGGTGAGAAAAATTGTACATTCACACGTAGAGGCATCTACCCACTTACCCGTCTCTCAACTAAGAAAATAAAAGGTTAACTCCCCGTCCAGTTCTCTTGCACACTCACTGTGTGGCTGCTGGCAGGACTGGTCCTTCCCAAGCTCGTGGCCTGAGGGCCTCAGCACCCCACCGGCTGCTCACCTGAGGCTGCCCCCTGGTCTCCACGGGGCAGCTCACAGCACATCTGCTAACAAGAGCCAGATGGTGTGAGCCGGACGGGTCATGTCCTCTGACTGATCCCAGAGTGGTTCCGTCACTTCACTGCATTCTCTTCATTAGAAGCAAGTCGCTGGGTCCTGCCCAGACTCCAGGGGAAGGAAACACACAGGACATGAACACCAGGAGGCCGGGGTCACTGGGAGCCATCTCTGAGGCTGTGGGGCTTGGGGCAGGTCCCTCTGAGCCTCAGTTTCCCTGTGAGGACGTAGTAACCCTCAGATGCAAGGACTAGTGGATACGGAGGAAGGTGGGACCAGTTATGACCCGGCCCTTAGGAGCTCAGCTCACAGGAGGTGGGATTGGGGGTTGGTTTGAAAGTCACCTCAGGGCTTCCCGGCCTGCCTGTGTAGAGGACCCTGACACCCCAGAACTGGTTCTCTGTGGAGTCACCTGTTGGGGTCCGTCTGAGCTAGTCCTTTCTTTGGTTCCTGAGGCAGATGAGCTGGCCCCCAAAACTCCACCCCAAGTGACTGAAGCCCTGGTGACCACGTGTTGTCTTTCCGTCCCCCACAGACAATTTCAGGTACACGTGCGACATCTGCGGCAAGAAGTACAAGTACTACAGCTGCTTCCAAGAGCACCGAGACCTGCACGCCGTGGATGGTGAGCCAGGCCCCTCACTCCTGGGGAGTGAGTCCCATAGAGAGACCCCCACCCAGGGCCGCTTACCTGGCCCCTCCCTCCCCTCCGCCTGCCCAGACGAAGGTCATGCAGCAGCCGGAGCATGAGGGACGTGCCCAACCCCTGAGGATCCTGGGGAGAAAAGGTCCCCGTCACACTGCATACATACTTCTGAGTAGGGGAACCCGAATGACATTGCCGGCTTTGTAAATCAAAAGCAGTCGAATACCCACAATTTTATATCAATTTATTATCCGATTTCATATTGAGTATTCACATGCTCTGGTGAAATTAAACCAATTTTTAAAAATGAACGATGGTATTTTAGTGTCTTAGATTATAGAGTTAGGAATTAGAACAATAAATTTAGGTAATTTGTTTTTGGAAATTCTTGGGTCTGGGAGGATCTTGGGGGCTCCCTCTGGAGCCGCACACCCCCAGCCTATCTCCAGCTGTGACAACCCAGCTTCCCACCTACTGGCTCATACGTCTTCTCGCCTCCTTATTCCTCTCCTCCCGGTCTCTCTCTCTTTTTCTCCTGCCCTGGCCCTCAACGGGGTGCTGATGATCCAGAAACAGGGCAGACAGAATGTCTGCCCCCCTGGGCTGGGCCCTGCCGTGGGAGGGAGAGGCGTGGAGACACAGGCTGTGTCCTGGTTGGGACGCACCCTCCTGTGGCCGCTGGCTTTCTGGGCCTGCACACTGGCCAGGGCCGCGCCCCGAGGCCGAAAGGGACTTGCACCTGGACGGAGGCTGGGAGCGGCTGGCAGAGGCAGCTGTGGGTGGGGACTAACAGGGCTCCTGTTTGCTTTTTTCCTCCTGTGGCTGCTGCCTCCTGCCCCGGCGCAGTGTTTAGTGTGGAAGGGGCCCCCGAGAATCGGGCAGGTAAGTACTTGGTGGCTGGCCACCTCCCTGGTCCCCAGCTAGGCTCCCGAGGCCTGGTGACCAGGGCACTAAGGGCCGCGTGTTCTCCCGCAGACCCCTTCGACCAAGGCGTCGTGGCCGCTGAAGAGGTGAAGGAGGAACCCCCGGAACCATTCCAGAAAATCGGGCCAAGTATGCGGGCCTCTCCTTGGGGCCGGGGCTGGGTGGGGAGACAGGCGGGGGCTGGCTGAGGGTGGCAAGGTGGTTCCGCTGCTGGGAGAGGGTGGCATTGCTCATCCGGCAGTAACGCCTGGCTAGCGAGCCACTGGCCTTCTTGCACCTCACTTTGCCCACCTGTCAAATGGGCCAGTCAGTGTTGAGATTTAGCTTTTGAGAAGCAGGACAGCACAGGGTCAAGGTCAGAGCAGTGAAGGCAGCACCTGGTTGGTGCCCTGGCAGTCTGTTAGCCGTCCTGAGCCTCGGCTCCTCACCTGTGGCATGAGGGTGACATTTCCCCACAGGTTTGTTGGGGGATTAAATGAGATCGTGGCTACCAATCACCTATTAATTAGCACAGTGCCTGGTACATAATAGGTGCTCGGAAAATAACTTGTTATTGTCACCTGAATGGGTTTATCAGCCAGTGGAGCTGTCCAGGGGAGCCATATGCAGACAATCTGTCCTCCTAGAAACCCCCGAGGGCAGGAGCCATGCACGTGACCTGCCGTTTTCGGCACACCTGTATTGAGTGTTGTGGGGACGCAGCAATGAGCAAGACAGATGTGGCCCTCCCTTTGGGGAATACGGGAGGGAGCCCGCAGGTCAGTAAGGAATAGTTACAGCATACCTAGAAGCACGGGCGGCTGGGGGTGCCGGGGGTGCCTGACCAGCCTTGGGAATCCGAGAGGCTTATGAGTGGGGAACCAGAGTGGGGAATGAGCCCCTGCATCCCCTTGAAGGCAGGAGAGCAGCACTTTTCTGGGAATTGAAAGGCCAGTCGATTCTGAATTCAGGTCTTGGAGAACCTCGAATACCAGACGAAGTTATTTAGACCTAAAGACCTAATCCTGAGGGGAGTGAGCTGAGCCGGGAAAGTTTACTAAATGGGGAAGGGACTTAATTCAGTTTGCATTTTAGGAAGGCCATTTTGGCTTGGAGAGTGGACTGGAGGTGGTGGTAGGGTCTCACACGTGAGACTGGTCCAGCCCTTCAAACATTTACATGTACTTCCTGTGCCTTCTTACTACCGGCAAGACAAGACCTTCATTGGCTCTGCCTCACCACGCTAAGGACGAAGGCAGCTTGCAGAAATATACACTCAGACACAGAATGAAAGGATGTGGAAATCCAAGGGAAGGGAATCGAGGGAACTACCACAGTGAAGCCGCTTGGTCCCAGGCCCTGGGGAGGCATTGCTGGGTCCCTGGATGCCTTTTCTTCTTCCTTCCTCCTAGGGGATAATTCCCTGCTTGATTTTTACTCTTAAACTCTCAGGAAACTGCAGATGTGATCCTATCTGTAAAGTGGTTGGCACCGTGCTTGTCATATGCAGAGTAAACATTCAATAAACAGTGGCATTAAAATAATCTTGAAGATAAAGAAAATGATGAAAACCTCAACGCAAACACTGCCAGGAGGTAGATTGTGGGAGCTCCAGATGTGAATCAGACACGTCCCAGGACAGATACGGGACAGGGAGTCGCAGCATAGCACTACCCTCCCATGTCTGTCTAGCATTATAATTATGAAAGTTGGCTGTGGAATCCAACAGGCCCCGGGTTGAAGGCTGGCGTCACCAGTTTACTAGCTGCTTAACCCCCCTGAGTCTCCTCTGACTCCTCTGTAAATTGGGACAAGAACGCGGTCTGTTCTGCAGGATGAATGGGTCAGGTGTCTAGCCAGCACCTGGCTCATACTCAGGGCGTCACACGTGAGCAGTGCTGCCAAGGGGTAGTTGAGAGTGAGAGCTTAAGAGCCATCCCAAGTATGAATCCCAGCTCTACGCCTAATCACCCTGCGACATCCTGCAAATACTGTAATCTCTCTAATCCACCATTTCCTTAATTCTGAAATGCAGTGATGACAATAAAACTCCCCTCTCAGGATTGTCATGGAGATTAGCTCAGATTATATTTGTAAAGGGATTAGTCCTTGACACTTACATGCAAGCATTAAGTAAGTGGTCCCTATTACCCCGAAGGTGCAGAACAAGATGAAACTTGTTCTATATATCGGTGACTTAAGCCTGACAGCAACCCGTGCTAGGACCTGGGAGGAATTGTCACAGATGATGCAGAGGGAGTAGGGAATTGCAGTGAGAAAATTGAACTGAGTTTGTCGTGTCCGTTCCCCCCCCCTCCCCCCACTATCCCCCCTCCCCGCTCCCTGCTGCTCCCAGCTTGGCACTATGGAAGTGAGGTTGCTAGAATAGTGTGATGCTTTCCCTTGTTACCACTCAGGAGCTGCCTTGTGAATTAAGACTGCTGCTGCTTGGGCTCCTGACACTTCTTGCAAGCAGGCCAGTGCCACAGAACCCTGAAACCGATGAGGCGTAGAATAAGAGGAGCCAGTAGCAGCATGGCACACTGTGAAGGGCTAGTGCCACAAGTAGCGATTGTAGGTCGGGGGAGAGGAAGAAACCTGGTAGCAGTGCATGCTGGGAAGTATGCCTTCCACATGCACATCAGCTGACAGTTAGAGAGTTAGGTACTTGAGGAGGAAGCCAAAGTCATGGCAGAGCAGAGGCGGTCCTGCTGGAAGAGGGAGCTGGTCTAAGGGGTCCTGTGTGTCAGCTTGCTCTCCAGCTCCAGATCTGAGAATTTTTACCATGGTCATGGTCTACCATGATAATGAGAAGATTCAGAACAGTTCATTTGTGCCAGCGGAAACAGAGGAAGTCTGGATTTGTTCATAGGTTATTTGATTTTTATATGTGGATAAGGAAGACTTAACTTGGAAAATAAATAAATAAATAAATAAATAAATAAATAAATAAATCAAACAAACCATGGGGAACTATGAAATTCCACATCACAAGAAAAAGAGAATTTAGGAGACTCGGGGGGAAGAGCATACATCTGAAAATGATCTACTGCAAAATCTACATGAAAATTCTCTCTGGCAGCCACAGTTGATTATAAGAAAATATGACCTGTCTTGGGCTGCTTTAACAATGCGTAGCTTAAACAACAGAAATTTATTTTCTCACAGTTCTAGAGGCTGGTAGACTGAGATCAGAGTGCCAGTATGGTTGGGTTCTGTTGAGATTACTTTCGGCCAAATACCATCGCATTGGGAGGTAGGGTGTGAACATCTGAATTTGTGGAAGACACAGTACAGTTCCTAGCAGGAACCCTGTGAGAAAGGAGCCCGGATTTGTATGGTGAAAAAGCAACAGGATAAGATGAAAGGGCAAAGATAGAAGTGTGAGATGAGGAAGGATTGCAGAGAAGCTGAAAATATAACAGAACTAAGACTTCCATTGCAGGTAGTAAAGAGCAGAGTCAGTCTAGGAAATGGAATTAGTGATGTGAAGGACAGATTTGAACAGATGAGATAATTAGAGGAAAACATGTTAAATATGGAGAATGGGGAACCAGTTCCAGATCATTGATGATATTGTACCAGTGGGACAGAAGCTGTGAAGATATAATAGAAGAAAAATTTGCTCAGCTGAAGGAAGGCCTGTGTGAAGGCCTGTGTATGAAGGTTTAAGGGCTCGTCTTATGTCAGGTAGAGTCAGTATAAAGAGATTCCTAACTAAATAGATCTTAGTGAATTGTCAAAACTATACATATAAAAAAAATTATAGGGCCATCTAAAAATAAAAAAAAGCAAGTTATATACAAATGAATCCAAAATGGACATGCCTCAGTCTTTTCTGCAATACTAAATGCCAAAGATAATGAAATCGTTTTGAAGGGGAAAAGTTGTAATCTAAGAATTTTATATCTAGACAAATTGTGATTTATGTGTAAAGGAAAAAGCCAGATCTCAAAAACATACTATATCTTCTATGTACCCATCTTCAAGAAATTACTTGAAATTATACTCTGAGTAGAGCACACTTAAGGGCTCCAATATGAGGAAATAATTCACAGTATTGAATACTAAAGCCAGATAAACTAGAAATAAGTTTAAAATGTTGCGCCTGGCTGTGTGGCTCAGTGGTTGAGTGTCAATCTGTGAGCCAGGAGGTTATGGTTCAATTCTCGGTCAAGGCACATGCCCGGGTTGCAGGCTCGATCCCCAGTGTGGGGTGTGCAGGAGGCAACCAATCAATGATTCTCTCTCATCATTGATGTTTCGATCTCTCTCTCCCTCTTCCTTCCTCTCTGAAATGAACTTAAAATATATGTAATGTTGCAATTCTGATTGTAAAAATTAAGGCAAAAGACAACGATTATTCTAAAATATTAAAAATGAATTTAAAAACACAAGAAGGCAGGAATAGTGAGGGATCCAGTAAAGGTGGGTTAAACCAGTCCTACTCATAGTGCAGTCCCTCCGAGCAGCAGCATCTCCTGGAAGCTTACTACAAACAGAAATTCGTAGGTCCCACGCCAGGCCTATGGAATCAGAACCTCCGGGTGGGACCCACAACAGTCTCTCTAGATGATTCTTATACATGTTCAAGTTTGAGGAGCACTGAATTAAACTCCCTTTTCAATGGTAATAGATATGAAAATATCATTTCCTGCTTGATTATAACATTTAGAGAAATATATATTATACACTGACTAAAACAATGGAGGATGTTGGAAAGTAATTGAATACTGGAGGATAATGGAAAGGCAAAGAAAAGAGTCCATGCATCAAACAACTGAAATTTTGTTTGATGAAATTAAACAACCCAGAAGGGTGGAGCAAAGGAAGAAAGATAATCATAAAACAAGTGAAACCAAGTCAGATATAGCCATCAAAGCAAATGGCATGATCTCCTTTATTAAAAGACAAAGGTTCTCAGGTTAATTTAAAATAATCCAATGATTAATGCCTTATTAGAGACATGCCTAGTTAATTCATTATCTTTTCTCTTTCTCAGGAAACTCTTTGCTGCTTCCTTAGCTAAATTGATTTCCCGATTAGAATTTTCATAGCACTGAATGTCTCCTTTAAGAGCACCCACCGCATGGTTGCAGTTTTAAATTTGCATGATCATTTGACTTTTCTGTCTCCTTTTCCAGACTGTAAGCTCCTTGAAGGCAGGAACCATGACTTTGCTCAACATTTTTGTGCCGGCATTTAGCACAGTATCTGTTTAATGAATGAAAGCACAGGGAAATTCAGGGAAATGTCTCTAGGCACATGCAAACATGTAGAAAGGAGAATCCGACAAAGTAACTACCAAGAATTAGTAACATTAATGCCAGGCAAACTAATAAAACTGTGGTTCTTTTTTTAGAAATATATTTTATTGATTTTTTACAGAGAGGAAGGGAGAAGGATAGAGAGTCAGGAACATTGATGAGAGAGAAGCATCGATCAGCTGCCTCCTGCACACCCTGTACTGGGGATGTGCCCGCAACCAAGGTACATGCCCTTGACCGGAATCGAACTTGGGACCCTTCGCTCTATCCACTGAGCCAAACCGATTAGGGCAAAACTGTGGTTCTTAAACGTTCTCGAGCATTAGAATTTTCTAAGGGGTCTGTTAAAACACAGGTTGCTGCATCCCATCCCTAGAATTTTTCTTTCAGTCTGTCTTGGTTAAGTCCTGAGAATTTGCAGCAGATTCCCAGGTGGTGCTGCTGCTGCTGGCCCAGGAACCTTTGAGAAGGACTGCGCTACAAAACGGAAATCTTAACAAAGGGCACAGTTCGCAGTAAAGGTTTGGATCCCTGAGCCTTTGTGCATCAAACAACATTATATCTAAATACACAAAATAAATGTAGAAATACCACAAAGTGGGAGGATTTATTACAGGGAGTCTTTGGCAGAGCAGGTAGACAAATAAGATTAAATAGGGATACAGGTGACCTAACAACTTTGAATCCTGCCAATAGATCTTTTCCAGTGTTCATGAATCAGTTACAGAAATTATTTAACTACAAACAAATTTTAAAGTTTCTATATTGAGACAGAAATCTCACAAACAGAATAAGAAGCCAATTTGAGCAAAAATACTTGTAACTAATATCAAGAACAAAATGTTGGTATTCTAATCTACAGAGTCTTAACGATTTGAAAAAGGTAAGTATACCTATAGAAACATTGGCGGTAAACACAGAAAAGTCATGAAAGAAAAACTGCAATTAAACATGAAAAATAATAAATTTCTTTGCAACTCAGAGGTGGAAAATAAAATCAGCACTGCATTATCGTTTCCCCTATCAGTCACAATTTAAGAAGACAATAATATCTAATGTTTGCTACCATGTATGGATACAGTCATTTTCCCATCTTTCTAACTGAGATACAAATTGGCCCAATCTTTTGATAGGTAGTTGGTGCTTTGGTTATCAAAAGCCTTAAAAATGCATACCCTTCATTTATCCCGTGGAAGTAATGTGCAAAGATTATGCTCAATAATCTTTATTTTGCCATGATGTGCAAAAATAATGAGCACATGTGCAAAAATTTCTACAAGTATGTGGATCATAGCATTATTTTTATATATAAGGGGAAATTTTGGGAGACATTCTAAATGTCCCCTGATGTAGGAGGCCAACGCAGCAAATTCGAAAGTCCAGTGGAACCATGCAGCCAATAAGTGCAGTAGAGATCGAAGTTTATTGATTGAGCAAGATGTCCACAAAGTATTGTCGATCGAATGCACCAGGTTACAAAGAGGATATAGATCGGGGCCGCCCATTCAAGGCCTGCAGCAGCCAGATGATGTCAGTGTAAGGGGAGTGAGGGGCGGGGTCTGGGGCAAGTTGAAAGGTGCACGTTCTACCCGAGGGGTAGCTGCTACTCTTTGTTTTGGGGATTACAGATGATTGAAATTTCTCTTATTTTTTTTAAAAAAAAATTTGTATTTATCAATATTTTATAATTTTCCCCCAGTGAACAATATTACATCAGAAATTTTTAAGAAGAAAGAAGTTAGGCAGACCCAAAAGAGAGGTAAAAATAAAGTCTGGTGGGACCTGAGAGGAAGAAGTGACCTCTTCTGCTGGGGGGCATGGGGTGCTTGGGGGCAGGGAAAGGTCCTGGAGATGAGGGGACCCCAGCGTGGCCATTGCAGAGGGGCTGGTAGAGAGATGGGCACCGGAGGTCAGTTTGGGTCACCACACTTTTCCAGAGCACCGGGCCCTGAGGGTGGAGCGATGAGGGAGAACAGCGTGTGCCAGGTACTGTTCTAAGCACTTGACATAGAAATTTAATCCTCACAGCAATCCTATAAGGTGGTCCTATTATTACCCCCGTTTTACAGATAGGAAAACTGAGGCACAGAGAGGTTAAGAGATTTGCCCAAGGTCACACAGCTCCAAATGGCAGAGCTGGGATTTGAATTTAGATAGTAGTCGACTCAAGTGGGCTCCCAATTCTAGTTTGTTGTCCCCGAATGAGGAGGAGTTTGGGGGGAGGGAGCCTGCTGCTGCTGCTGGATGGGAGCCAGGCACCTGTTCCCACACTTTTATCTCCTCCTTGGACAGAAACCGGCAATTACACCTGTGAATTCTGCGGGAAGCAGTACAAGTACTACACACCCTACCAGGAGCACGTGGCCTTACACGCCCCCATCAGTGAGTACCTTTTGTTGTTGGGGGAGGGGTGGGCCAAGCTGTAGTCCCCAGGCCCATCCCTAGGGGAGGGCGAAACTAAAGGTGAACTTGATCTGGGCCAGTCTCTAGGTGTCCAGGTGTGATCTGGGGCCACCTTACTCGAATAGCTAGGGAAACCACACCTTTAAGCCAGGAAAGCCCGAGTCTTCCAACAGTGGATTCAGAGGGTGGGCACCATTCATCCAAGTCCTTCAGTGTCCCTGTCCCCACCTCCTCTAAGCACCTCCAAATCATGTTCCTGAATCCCCAGCCCCAAAGCCAGCACCACGTGGTGCAGCCCCAGTCTGAACCCATGCAGAGCCTACCCCAGGCAAGGGATGGCCAACTAGACGGGACAGCTCCTCTTTGTCCTTGGTGGTGGGAAGGGTGGGAAGCCGGAGTGCTAAGCCAGGACTCAGAGCCCTGGGTGTTAATCCCCGTGGATTCATAGGCTTGCATGTGACCTGGGGCAGGCCCTGTCGGATGTCTGGCCTCCAATCTTTCCTTCCAGAAGGGAAATGGTTCTCAGGGCCCTTCCCACAGGGACATTGCAGCCTTCCATTCTGATGCTGCCGATTCCCCAGTGCCACTTCTGGATGTTGGAGTGGGCTCCCTCACCCTTCCATCCCTAGCATATGAGCTGGAGGCCTTCAGTCCTCAACCAAAATCCAGATGGAGGCAAGGCTTAACCAACTTCGCAGGGCGGGATGTTTAGGAGTGGATGTAGGAGTACCCCCTGCTTTTGTTTCTTAGGACAGAGCTAAGTGGATCCCACTCCATAATCTCTAAATGGGCAGAGCAGCAGAGGTGGAGGGTCTCCCATGGGCGAGAGCTCCCATCCTGAGATCCATAACGGGGCTAGGATTCTTGTCCTACTCAGCCTCTGACCTGTGCCTGTCACTTCCCTTCTCTGGGCTCAGGTTTCCCTTTGTGGGAGCTCTTGAGGTCTTTCCAGCCCAGGGGTCTGAATTCTAGGCATCTCCAAACCCTCAGGCAGGTAGACCAGGTGGCCCAACGAGAGGAACCCGTCCTGCCAGTGAGGCTAGGGATGTATGGGCCACCCATTTCCCACCACATGTCTGGGCCTGGCTGGAGGGAGAGGATACAGTTTCCGCTTGGTGGGCATGACCCATCATTTGACTAGTGGTGCTGGTGCTGAGTCATCGGCGCTGTGGCTGGGCTTGAACTCCATGGCCTGGACCCTCTGAGGACCCCTCTTTCCATGGGCCGGACTGGCAGCTGTGTGTGGACATCTGTCCTGCTGCCTGGTTCCTGGAGAGGATGCCACCCAGAATGCACTTAGATGTTAGTTGCAAGGCCAGCCTGCAACCACGGTGTCAGCCTTTGGAGAGCACCTTCAGTGCTGCTGCTGTTCTCCCAAATTTCTGGCAAGGGGTGGAGTTTGGCTTTGAACCTTGGAAAGCCATTAGGAACATATCTGTCACTCCCAAAAGTTTCCTTGTGCCTGTCTAGATTTCCTTGATCACCACTTCCCCATTCACAGGCAAGCACTGATCTGCTTCCTATCAACATAGATTGCTTTGCATTTTCTAGAATATTGCATATATGGAATCATACTCTTTTATTGTGTGTATGGGGGTGTCTGGCTTCTTTCACTCACCTTAATTGTTTTAAGATTCTTCGTGTTTGCATGTATCCGTACTTCATTCCTTTTCATTGACGGGTAGTAGTATTCTATTGTCTAGATACAGTAAGTTCTCACTGTAAGTCGTCAATAGGTTCTGTAATTTTAAGTGAAATGATGTATAACAAAACCAGTTTTACCATGGGCTAATTGACACAGAGTTAAGTTCCTAGAGCATATCATCAATGTTATAATGAAATGGCATTGAACAAAGTTACATTATTTGAGGACCTACTGTATAGATACCACAGTTTTTTTTATTTAGTTTGGATGGACACATGGGTCGTTCCAGTTTAGAGCTAATACAAATAAAGCTGCTGTGAACATTTCTGTACACATCTTTGTATGGACAGATGCTTTCATTTCTCTTGGGTAAATATCTGGGAGTGGAATGGCTGGATCATATACTAGTAGTAGGTGTATGTTTATCTTTTAAGAAACAGCCAAATTGTTTTTCAAAGCGATTATGCCATGTTACGTTCCAACCAGCAGTGTACTTTTCTTTTCATGTAATTTCTTGTCTAATTTGGGTATCAGAGTAATACTGGCCTTACAGAATGAGTTGGAAAGAGTATTTCCTGCATGGCGTGTCATTAGATTACAGTGATTGATAATATTGTTTAAATCTCTACACCTTTCCAGGGTTTTCAAAAACATATGCTTGTTCTGCCAAATACCGAGAGAGGAGAGTTAAAATCTACAACTTTAATTCTAGATATGTTGTTTCTCCCTTTAGTTCTGTCAGGTTTTGATGCATATATTTTGAAATTTGTTTTGAAGTGCACACACTTGGGATCATTATGGCATGATGAATTGACCCTTTTAAAATTGTTCAATGCCCTTCTTTATATCTGGTAATACCCATTGTCTGAAATCTACTTTATTTGATATTAATATAGCCACTACAGCTTTCTTAGGATTAGTGTTTGCATGGTATATCTCTTTTCATCCTTTGCTTTTTACTTATGTGTGTTTTAAGTGCATACATATACTAGTAGTTGGTTCTCACTCCTTTATCCAGCCTGACAATCCCTGCCTTTAAATGAAGTGTTTAACCCATTTACATTTGATATATTATTTTGATATGGTTAGATTTAAGTTTTTTATCTTGTTGTATTTCTGTTTGTTTCATTTCTTCTTATTATTCATTTTTTTGTCTTGCCTTCTTTAATATTAATCAAGAATTTAAAAAATTTCCTCTGTTAGCTTTCCACCTATACTACTTTTCCTTTAGTGGTTACTTTGTGGTTTATAATATATATCTTTAATGTATTATAATCTACCATGACTTTATATCATAACATATTATACGTTATGTGAGAACCTTATCACAGTATTCTTCCATTTACTACTCTCCTGTCCTTTGTGCTATTCTTACATCATACGTATAAGTGTTAACATATATATCATACATAGTCTAAATAAGTTATAAAACCAACAATTATTTTTTGCTTTAAACAGTCAATCCTGTGTTAAAGTAATTAAGAAATGAGAGAAAATGCCTTTTATATTTATTACATATTTACCATTTTCTTTACTTTTCTTTATGTAAATCTGAATTTCCTCTATTATCCTTTTCCTTTATTCCCTGAAGAACCTCCTTGAACATTTCTTACATTGTAGGTCTGTTGGTGAAAGATTTTCTTAACTGAAGATGTTTTTGTTTCACCCTTTGAAGGACATCTTCTCTGGATATGAAATTCTGGGTTGAGAAATTTTTTTTAGCACTTTAAGACTGTCATTATTTTATCTTCTTTGCTTATGTTGTGTCTTATGAGAAGCCAAAGGTCATTCTGGTTGTTATTCTATACTTGATGTATATTTTTTCTGTGGATTATTTTAAATATTTCTCTATAATACTGGCTTTAGTAATTTGATTATGGATATATAGTATTCTTTGGCTTCATCTTCTTTGGGGTTTATTGAGCTTTTTGGATCAGTGGGTTTATATTTTTCATCAAGGAAAATTTTCAGTCAGTATTTCCATAAATATTTTTCTTCCCCAATTTCTCTTTTGCGTCCTATTGAGACTATTGACATGTATGTTACATTTTTTTTACGATGTTTACAGATCAGTTGAAGCTGTGTTCAGTGTTTCAGCCTTATTTTCCCTGTGTTTCTATTTGGATTGTTTCAAGTGCCCTGTTCTCAGGTTTGCTGATCTTTTCTTCTACAGTGTCTTACTTTGTTTCATTGGAAATATCCATTAAGTGAATTTTTCATCTCAGCTATCATATTTTTTTATCTCTGTAATTTCCGCTTGGTTCTGTTTGACATCATTTCTTTCTTCATTATGTTCATGTTATCCTTTAAACCTTGGAGCATATTTATAATAGCTGTGTTAAGGTCCTTGTCTGCAGATTCTATTGTTGTTGTCATTTTTGGATGTTTCTGTTGACTGTTTTGTGTTTTTTTCCTGTTGAATATTATTCTCGTTTTCCTGCTCCACCTGATGGCATCCTTTTTTTATCCTATGCTGCCTGTTGTGGATGCAGTGTTGTTGAGTGTCTGGACTTTGCTATCTTCCTTTGAAAAATGTCGAATTTTGTTCTAGTCGGCAGTTAATACAGATTAGCTTGATAATTCAAAGGCTCGATTTTAAGCTGTGTTGGGGTGTGGTGTGGAGTACAGTAGCCTCTCCTTATCCGTGGTTTCACTTTCCATGGTTTTAGTCAACTGTGGTGTAAAAATATTAAATGGCAAATTCCAGAAATAAACAATTTATACATTTTAAGTTGCACACTGTTCTGAGTAACAGGATGAAATCTCAGGCCATCCTGCTCCATCCCTCTTAGAACACGAGTGATCCCTTTGTCTGCCTTATCCAGGCTACATAACTACCCACCCCTGCTTAGTAGCGGTCTCAGTTATCAGATCGGTTGTCAAGTACACAGTGCTTGTGTTCCAAATAAGCCTTATTTTAATAAAGGCCCCAACGCCATGTACATAACTTCTATTACAGCCTGTTGTTATAATTGTCCTATTTTATTATTAGTCCTTGTTGTTAATCTCTTAGTATGCCTAATTTAAAAATTAAAATGTGTCACAATATGTATGCCTAGCAAAAAAACGGTACCTCTAGGATTCAGTACTATGTGCAGTTTCAGGCCTTCATTGGAGGTCTGGGAATGTATCGCTCCTGGATAAGGGGGGGTACGGTAGTCCTTGTGGTAGGGTCAGCGTAATCCTTCTAAGGCCTGGCTCTTCTGGGTCTCAGCTGAATGCCTAGGTATTCAGCAAGGTCTCCTCCTGGCAAAGGGGAACTCAGACATCCTCTGACCTTGCACACCCCTGACTCCTCACTCACGCGCAGCCCCGCAGTCTGTTGGCTGCCAGGCTTTGCAAGGGTCCCTCTGCACGGCTCAGGAGCCCTTTCTTTTCTCCCTTCTTTGTTATCCTGCCCTTCGAACTCCAGCCACTTTGGGAGCCCTGAACTCTGACCGCTGACTCCTCAGTTCAGGGTGACT